AATGCTAAATATTCATTATTTTTAATGTGGAACAAGACATAAGAAGTATCTCCGAACATCGGGTTTCTTCAATTTCCTTTTCTGATGTACTGGAGACGCTATTGATTTATTGCTATTTATTTTATAGATGTATTGTAGTCATATAGGTTTTCGATTGGTTTTTAGAGTGCCTTCCTATTACTAATGTTCTTTTATTTATTTTTTGTGGCAGTTGACTTTAGGATTTTGGTTAAGCATCTCCCACTCTCTCCCTCCTCCAACATAGAGAGGGTTTTTTTTAGAGGACTTTGCATTTCTCATAGTTGTGTAACTTTCAGTTAGTGCTTGGTTTCTTGGCCATTTTTCATGGCTATTAAGAACCATTCTCCATGCTATTTTTTGAGCTTCTTTCTTCTTTAAGCTCGAGTTTATACTTTTACTGATTTCTTTTCATTTTTTGTAGGATTTTTTCTTACTTTTTAGCTAGGATTTTTCCCTCTTTTGCAGGACTTGTGCTTACTGGGTGTGGTTGGATTATAGCTATTTCTGGCTTGAGCTTACAAGTTTTCCAATGGCTTCCTTTATTTTCTTGGTTTTTAGCTTAGATAGTAATGAAATTAGTAAATTTCTAATCTATAACCACTAATTTGCATAGCCCATTTATAGGATTTTTGCTTCATGGGTTGCCAATGATAGCTTCATTTTCTTTTCTCCATTTATAACATCTACCAGTGAGAGCCGGTAGTTTTAAGTGTTGTTTTAATCATTTCTAATTTTCACTATTTAATAATCTCTAACTGTTGATACTTCCACCTACTAGGATTTTCTTCCTCTCTATCTCCACTACTCTGAAAATAGAGTTGGCAAACTCTTCATCCCAAGAGAAGTCTAACAGATTTTTTTTTTCGATTTGAGCTTCATGTTAAACTACATGCTCCATAAGCAAAGCCTTATTGATTTTAAAAAACCTAATCCACCTAAACCTCTTTATCCAAAACCACAACCATCTCCACTGAACCTTTTTCTGCCACCTCTAGCTTTCGTTGGCCTTAGAGGTTTTTTTCCCACTCCTAGTCATCCTCTTCAGTTATTTTGAATGCATGCTCTAATTTCTTCTTTCCTTCTGCTTCCACTTCTTCAACTCTCCTCTCTGTTGCTATGTCATAAACACTTTGTAAAGGTATATCCTGATTTCCTTATGCTATTTGTAGTGCTAACATTTTGTAGAATTATTGGTTTTTGGTATACACAGGTTTTCTCTTGGTGTTGTTATTACTCTTACAATAACCATTACTTTCATGTGTTTAATGTCTTTTCTTTAATGATGGTAGTTGTTAATGCATTTATTTCATTTGTAGTGTTAACACTTTGTAGAATTATTGGTTTTTGGTATACATAGGTTTTCTCTTGGTGTTGTTATTACACTTACAATAGCCTTTACTTCCATATGTTTAATGTTTTTTCTTTAATATTGGTAATTGTTAATGCATTTATTTCTTGTATTTGTTACTTTTTTTGTTGTCTTTTATTTTATTTTTGGTTGTGTTTTATTTTATTTTATTTTTTATTACATGGGAGCAATGATGCAAAACTCTTTTTCTTTTGAGTTCTAAGTGTGTATTGTCTTTTTTAACTTGTATTACATGCTACAAAATGTTTTTTTTCTTTTACTTGAACTACCTTCTATTAATTCTTGTTTCATAATCTTTTTGCACTTTTCATGTTCTCTTTTCCTTCATGTAACTATATTTGCATTCTTTTTGTTTCAGTTTACTTTTTTTTTTCACTTCTTCTTAAGTTTTTTTTTTTTTGCATATTTTCTCATAATTTGGGAACAATGATGCATTTTTTATTTTAGGGAGAACATTTAAAATATGATTTCCTTCTTATTTTTTTATGAGTTTTTTGGGTCTTACTTTCCCCTCTTTATTTGTGTTTGCATTTGTTTTTTTCCTCTCTACTTTGTAATTATTTTCATTTTTTGGATACTTGTTGAATATTATCCTTTTGTATTCAACCTAAGCTCCCATACTTTTATTTACTAGGACTATAAGTTAGTAATGCAAAGTTAACTTATAGTTTGATAGTCCAAGTTGTACAAAGAAAGTTAGTTTTACATTTGGAGTTATCTTTCCCATTTAGTTTGATAATCTAAAGGTACTTCTTGCTTGAGATTTGTATGCACTGGAGAAAGTAGAACTTAGGATTTTTTTATCCTCTCTATTTTTTTAAACCCACTTGCTATTTCAGTTTCATTGGACCTCTGTAAATTCAGACATTGGTTGAATTGTGTATTCTTCCAACTATTTAAGATTTAAAAGCATGTCTAAACTTGATATGAACTATGTATTCTAAATGATTATTTATCTTGTAAAAATAGAGAATAGAAATCTTAAGAGAAGTCTAGAATTAAGAAAAAAAAAACAAAATGGTAAACCTATCAGGTTAGGTTTCTCTCTTAAAGCTATCAAACCTCAGGAATTCTGAAATCAATGACATATGATATTAATGAATAACTTCAAAAGAGATTTTACCTGGAAGTGGGTGATCGTGACAAAAACATTTGGGCACTTGAATCTCAGCTATGTGAGGTTGGTGACTTGGTTTCATACAGATATACGCTGATGTTTGATCACCTCATTTTGCATTAGGCTTATTGATTCCTTTTGTGTCTTTGAGGCATCTTTGGTTTTAACCTCTAACATGTTCTTTTTTTCTAGATTTTTTTTATAGATTATTTTTTTCTTCTTTTTTCTAATAAATTCTAGGTATTCATAAAAAGAAATAGAAAAGTAACAAAGATATTTAAGTTTCGTATTCTGACTACCAAAACCATGATAATTTGGAGTTTACACCATTCAAGAAAATGGACAACATTCCCTTTTCTTCTTTTTGGCCTATTTACTACAGGTATTTGTTCTTGTTTTTTTGTTTTCTTTTATTTCATTTCACTTTTGGTTGTGTTATTTTATTTTATTTTTATTACCTGGGAGCAATGATGCAAAACTCTTTTTTTTTTCTTTTGAGTTCTAAGTGTTTATTGTCTTTTCTAACCTGTATTACATGCTGCAAAATGTTTTTTCTTTTACTTGAACTACCTTCTACTAATTCTTGTTTCATAATCTTTTTGTAGAGGTGTAAATCATGTCGTGTCGCCCACGGCCCGACACGAACTTAGATCGGCCCGGCACAACGGTCCGTGGGCCATGCCAGGCCTAGCACGATCATGTGGGCCGTGCTGGGGCTGGGGTTTTAGGTCCACGGGTCGGCACGACCCATATATGTTATATTATATATATTTATATAATATTATATATTATAATTATATAAAAACATATAGTATATATATTAATAAAATAAATATATTTTTTTAATTTTATTACACTAATTTATTTAATTATTGTATATATAAGCAATTGTGTACACAAAAATTCATATAAAATTAAAATTTTAAGTTTGTTGTCCTTTTTTTTAAATAAATAGCTTTGTTCCGATGCATTGCCCGTAACGGCCCACGGGCCAGTACAGCATGGTCCACAGTGCTGGCCCGACACGACCCACTTTACACCTCTATCTTTTTGCACTTTTCATGTTCTCTTTTCCTTTATGTAACTATATTTGCATTTCTTTGTTTCAATTTATTTTTTTTTCATGCCTTCCTAAGATTTTTTGCGTATTTTCTCATGATTTGAGAACAATGATGCATTTTTTATTTTAGGGAGAACCTTTAAAATATGATTTCCTTCTTATTTTTTTGAGTTTTTAGGTCTTACTTTCCCCTCTTTACTTGTGTTTGCATTTGTTTGCTTTCCCCTCTACTCTGTAATTATTTTCATTTTTTGGATATTTGTTGAATATTGTCCTTTTGTATTCGGCCTGAGCTTCCATACTTCTATTTAGTAGGACTATAAGTTAGTGGTGCAAAGCTAACTTATAGTTTGATAATCCAAGTTGTAAAGAGAAAGCCCGTTTTACATTTGGAGTTATCTTTTCCATTTAGTTTGATAATCTAAAGGTACTTCATGCTTGAAATTTGTATGCCTCAGAGAAAGTAGAACTTAGGCTTTTTTATCCTCTTTATTATTATATATATTTTTTTAAATCCACCTACTATGTTACTATTTTGATCTCACAAAAGAGAAAGTCCATTACTATGTTACTATTTTTTAAATCCATAATTTGGCTTTGTTACTATTTTGCAACCACTTGGATCTCACATTTTGATCTAAATATTTCATGATGGGTGAGGATTTTATCTATTTGTTTCACTACAACTGATTTTCCATGGATAAAACAATAGGTTGCTTATTATGCTATTTGTATTTAAGAATTTCTTATTGAAAATTCTTATTCTTAATAAGGGTATTCTCAAATGTTTTTCCTTTTTAATTTCTTCAATAAAGGTTGGTAGTTTATATACTAAACTTAGTGGAACCAGTCAATTGATTGACATGGATGTAATTGAGTTCTTACATAAAGAAAATTTACAATATTATTGATTAATCTTTTTATTAATATTATAATGTTTTATTATTTTATAATATTAATATTTTGTTATTATTTATTAGTCTTTTTATTATTTTTCTTTTTTAATAATTTTTAATATTTTATATAATAATTTTCATTCATTATTATTTAAATAACAATTTAAAAGGTAAATTTATAAAATTTACATTTTAGATTTATCATAACATTCATATTACTGAACAACTTCATTAAGATGTTTGCAAACATGTAAAAGTAAATTTTTCATTGAAAGCTTTCAAAGTTTTGTCATCTAAGTTTTTTTGTTTTTTGTTTTTTTTTTTCTCTTTTGAGAGTTTATATTTTAGATTTATCGAATGCCACTTATGTGACAACTATATCCATCTGGTCGGGATCAACCTTTGACGTGCTTAGACTTTAAACCGAGAATGACCCGAGTTGCACACAACAAGAGTAAATACCCTAATTAAAAGGGGCATTTCATGTAATTTGACACACCCAGAAGGCCAGAAAAGCCAAAACCCTCTCTTAAACCCCATTAGGCATTTACCCTACTCGCCAAAACATAGCGAGTGGAAGGTTCTAGTCGATTGGTTGCCGTCTGTGCTTTCTTCATCATGGCGAAGCGATTAGCTCCATTGTTGAATCGTGTCTTGGTCGAGAAAATTGTTCCTCCGTCCAAAACCAGTGCAGGAATCTTACTTCCCGAGAAGACCGCACAGGTGCAATGCTAGCTCTCTTTTGAACTCTGCAACTACTCGTTCCCCTCGTATTCCCTTAGGTTTTGATGTTTTTTCTCGAGGGATATGGTTTTTTTGGGGAAATTTTATGTGGGTCTCTAACATTTCACCTTTTGTTCATTGATTTGGTGGACTGGTTGAGAGGAAAGCACGCCAGTATAGCTTCGGTTCTTTACTCTCTGCAATTAGTTTCTATGCTTGATAGCTATGAACAATGATTCTTATTTTGGGTTTTCTTCTAATTCAGTAACTTTAATCTTTGCTATTGTTTGTTCTTGTTCTTCACTTGCCGTCTCCTGTGAAAGTTGATTTAGTAATTTTGTAGTTTCCCTTGTGAAAGTTTTATGTTTTCCCCTTTTCTTGGTTGACGCTTTAAGTTTTTAATATTTTTGTCTAAGATAATTCTCTTTTTTATCATTATCAGATTCAATAAATCTTTTATTAATCAGAATAAATGAGAAACTACACATCACAATGCTCCACATTGGAATACACATCCATAAATGGACCTGCAGCTTCCCTTTCCCCTTACACTATCCCTTTTCCCATACCCTGCTCTGCTTGGGCAGGTCTTACTGATCCACTTCATTTCTTGGGAATCAGCAATGACATTAGCTGATCTTCTGATCCATATGAATGAGGTGTTCAAGACACAGGCCACAGAGCTAGCTTATCTGAATTGATGTCTGGAGACCTAAGGGTGGTCTGCGCCACGCCTCATTCACCCATGGACTACCTATGAGTCTCCTTCCACTTAATAGTCTCAAAGTATTTAAAGATGATGCACATTTCGGTCTATGTAGAACTATGGAAGAGATGCTTTCTCCACTCTAATGGAGTTGCCTTCATCTTTAGGACCTGACAATACCTAATAGTTCTAGGTCGGGGGTACTACTCTGCTAGAGGAGTAGGCAGCATTAGATCAATTTTTTACGATAGTCCGTTGTGAATATCTCAAATTCTTACTGTGTGTGTTTGGGTTTGGGGGGGTGGAGTGGGCAAATATAAGGTCAATTTCTTATAATATCCTTTATTGTGAATAGGATAATTCACTCATTTGCTGCAGGCATGTAAATGGAAGATATAGATCTTTTTTACCCTTAGTTTGCTTATTTGAACTTTTCTGTCTTTTATTTAGCTAAACTCCGGTAAAGTTGTTGCTGTGGGTCCTGGAGCTCGTAACAGAGATGGACAACTTGTTCCTGTTAGTGTAAAAGAAGGAGACACTGTGCTTTTACCTGAATATGGAGGAACTGAAGTAAAACTTGGTGACAAAGAGTAAGTATTGGATTCCTTCTCCACTTTCTGTATTTGGTTTGTCTATCTTTTCATTCTAAGTATCTGTTTAGACATTCAATGTTGGGTTTAGGTTTAGTGGTCACTTCTGAATGCATGTTAAGTTGTTATGGTAGAAAATAGATTCAACTGGCTTTAGGATTTAAACTATAACTTCTTTAGAAAGGAGCTGCCTGTGAGCACTGAACACTTGTGAGTTGGAGAATTGTCAGACATGAAGATAAACTTCACTGATGTGTGAGGTGCTTGATTGATAGTAATTGGATTGAATGCCAATAAGTGATGCTTTCTGTTTTGTCTGTTTTTCATAGATTTTAGAAATTTGCACTGCTCTCTTTACCACTCCCCTTTTCTTTTGGTTGGTGAAGTTGGTGCGCCAATGTAAATAGAATTCTCTTACAGGTGGTTATTTATTTATTACTGTCATGAGGGCCTTTCCTAGGTCAGTGGTCCAGGTTTGGTTTCTGGCTTGAACCTCTAAGATATTGTGCATTGATTGACAGATTATCAAAATATTGTCTCCATTTAAACTTTACTTTAAGAAAATTCATAACCTGAAAATGAATTATATTTGTCTAACAAAGAGCATTTGCTGAATAATCAGAACGATGATAAAGAATCATTTTATTGTGGTGACTAAAAGTGCTTTAACCATGCTGTAATTTAGGGTATTCTTCTATTACTTAGCCTTTTTAATTCTCTTTCATTGGTCATAAATCAAACTATACACTGTTTAAATGGCCTTAATCATCATGATAAAGAGTCTTGTTGTGGGCTGGTTCCTGATTTCCCAGTCTTGGGGTTACCAACTCACCATTGCACTTGTGGATGGTCTACAGAGTAGTTTTTTGACTTCCTAATTTAGGGTTACTATTGCACTTATAGAGGGATCGAGTGGTATTAGTATGGGAAGATTACATCTTTTATTATCTTGATTTTAAGAACAGACTAGAGCTTTTGCTGCATTACTAGATGACATTTTTTTAGTAAACAGAAAAAAATTATTGTAGTACTGTAAAGAGGGTGAGGAATCCTCAGAATTTACAAAAAAGTATGACTATAATATCCACATGACATATACAGCATGTTCAAAAACTGATGGAGCTCCACTGGTTCTGGAAACAATCAGAAGGAGCTCTCATGAACTGGTGCTGTACTTTGGCCCATCTCAGCAAGGTCTATCATTTTTTGCCATTTAATTTTTACCCAACTTTCTGATTGTAGGTGACTTATCTAGAAACTTCCTGTGTGAATAAGAATAAGATCTGAGCTATTTCTCTTGGAACCATTTTGCGATTATATATATGATATCTAAATTTCTTGCCTAATATGTTATTGTTTATATATATTTGTATGCATTTCTTTGGGATCTAGAATTCCCTCTTCCTCTTATGTTCTTTTTATTTTTGGGGAGGGGGATTTTTCACATTTATCAGTTACTCTGATTCTTAAGTTGCCATGATCATTGTTTTTGATTTTATTCTCTTTTTTTTTCCATTTTATATAGAAAATGAATATTTTTTTAACTTTGTTGTAACTTTTTCAGGTATCATCTATATAGAGATGACGATATACTGGGAACACTGCATGATTGATGAAGTTCACTCCTATTGTGAGGTTATAAAAAAATTTTTATAACGATCCTGTAGGATTGAGGCAGCTTTTAATGTGTAATTGAAGAGTTAGGCTGTGAGACTGCAGCTAAACATTCTGCTTCTATTTGGTGCCTTGAATTAGATTGGGAACTCATAGGTTGTCTTTATTGGACACAACACAAAGATCTTATGGAATTTAGTCATTTCCTTGTCTTGCTTCTGCTTATTATGCTTATATAATATCTATCTTATACGGGTTAGTTATTTTCACTTGGTAACTTGTTACCCTTTTCATGTTCTTTCTTTTATTTGTTTTTCTTTTGGCATCATCTTTAAATTTTACAAACTGGATAAATTCTTATTCAGCGCTTTTCTCTGCAAGCACTGCTTACCCATTTACTGTATTTGCATCATATTCATTTAAGAATTGTCAGATAAAGTTCAAAACAATTATGAACTGCAATTTCAGAAACTCTAAGCTTATTAGCCACTCCAAGAGTTCCCAACTGAGTTGGCTAAAGCCGATCAGGTTAAACTTTAGAATTGGTGTGGGCTTGTGCAGATTGGCCTTTCTTTATTTAGGTTAGGGTTGGTTTCATCCTAGGTCTATCTATTCTTTACTGAGGGGGAAATTGAGTCATGCAACACTTATCCACTCGGTCTGATAAGTCAATGCTTATGTAATGCTCCAATTCCAATGGAACTGAAACCAATTCCTTGAAAAAAATCAGACCAACAAACCTCTATCCTCTAGAAGTAGGGTTATTTTCACTGTTTTTGATTCTTCACTTATGATGTATGCAATATAAGAGATGTTTTATAGTTTTTTATTTCCATCCTTATTTTTGAAAGCACTGAAGTTTGAGTAAAGTTCTATTTTGGGTTTTACCTAAATGTTGGACCATTCCTGGTCCTGATTTGCTGGTTGCTCATTTTCACTATAGTTTGGGATTTACACAGTAAGCACCGATTGTCTTTCTTTAGTGGTAGGTGATGGTGGTTTTATTTCAGAAAACCATTTGTGTTTTTGAATTAAAATGATAGTATTTAAAATAAAAACGAATTTTATAGTATATAATTTATATGGAACATGACTACATGAAAACTAAACTTCATTTAGAAATATTCTTTTCAAATTAAAAGTTCAAGAACACATTTTTGGCTTTTCTTTTTTTATTGCAGGGTTTGATTTGGTTTGGATGAATGTTTAAAAATCCCCATAAGCATTATATATATATATATATATATATATATTATCAACAAATAGTGTATAATTATGTTTTATATATAATATGCTAGTGGATCTGTGCAATGCATGGGTTTTATTATGTGAAATTAAATTTAAAGAGATTTCGATATTTGCCCATTGTTTGATGCATCAACAAAAAAGTCATTATAATTATATGCTATGGCACCTTGGGATGTATAGATTTTGAAAAATTATCTAAAATTAGAAAAAAGATAATCTCAATTGGATATTGGAGTCCTAAGTTATAGTCTTCGAAAATTTGTATATATGTTGAGTGTGCAAAATATATACAAAAACGGTTAACATTGGAATTACTGCCCATTAGGCTAATCACCTAAGGCTCCATTTGAAAGGAGTACAAATGTAAATATATCGAGTGCAAAACCTTCTATTATATATTATTTTGTTTGTATTTGTACAATATGTATACTCCTAAGCTGAGCCCAAAATATAAATAACACAAGCAATTCGAATTGAGACCATAAATCATATTCCTACCTCTATTACCACGGGCTGGAGCTTGGTGCCATTTCCTTTTAAGCTTGGTTTGTTTATTGGTGCTTGGGTAATGCATATATAACTAGGCAAAAGTTGTTCACTAAGTAACTTTTGGTGTCAATGTTTGATCGTGCTTTCATTTGGGAAAAAATGGAGGTGGGAGAGGATTAATGTTTTTGGTGGTCGGTAAGCAACTTTCACTAGGAGAGTATTAATTATTTAGGTAATTGATACTCTAAAATATTCGTTGTAGATGAAATCCGTTTTGGTCAATTATCCATTAGAGATTGACAAATAAATGGGAGCTTAAAGTAAAATATACTGTTGTTTCGTTATTTTCAAATATAATTAATGAAATAAGGCTTCATTTGGATTTCGCCTTTTTCACTAAAGCCTTGCACCCGCCTAGCAACTTGCAACCAAACAAACCAACCAGGGCCATAACTCATGAACTCTTGGCAACAAACAACCGATTAAGCATTATCATCCTATTAATAGGGGCAGTTTAGTGACTTCGGATTTTTTGCCCACAACGATTTTATCCATGTCTACCTATAATATACTTTCCTGTGCATTGAAAATATCTCCCCGTACATGATACTATATAGGAGAATGAGATGTTTTTTATATGTGGCTACTATGTTATGTAGGTAGACATGAACAGAACAGAGTTTTTGTGGCAAGAGATCTTGCAACAAGCAATGAATTGAGCATTAGTGTAGCGCTAATGTGCACCCGGAAGTTAACGCCTCCAATAATTTGATGAAATGCTTTCATTTCTCAATACTTTTTCTTCGATTTACACATTTTTTGATAAATATTCTTACATCAACTAAACATTTAATTAGCACCTGAAGATTTTTTTTTTTTTTTTTTTTGTAAAGTAAATAATTAACAAAGATATGCATACATACATATATATATATATATATATATATATATATATATATTAAGTCTTTTCTTCGACTATCACCAAAAAAATGATTAGTCTTGTTTAACTATACACACACAAAAAAAAACATTCATTGTATGAATGTGGGCTGACCATACAACTCCATGGAAAAGTTTCACCATTCCCACCTCCCAAAGTTATATTGGCTTAACTCGTCACCATCCCAACCATCCCTTAAGGCTGTATTTGGAAACGATGCAAATAAGTGCCAATGCAAATATGTAGAGTGTAAAATGGTTCATATAAAATGTAAAATCGGGTTACTTTTGCACTAACAAATTTACCTTTTTACCAAACATACTTTTAGCTATAATGGATACAAACATGAATTCCAATAAAGAATATGCTTTTTGGTAAACATACTTTTACCAAAGGCCCACTTGAATGCAAATTTACTTCTTCTTTATTGATGTATTTTTACATCTTATCAAGGTTCAAAATATCGATACGCCCGATACGTCAATAAGGGCGTATCGGGCGAATCGATACACATTTTGGTCCCTTTTTTTTTTTTTAATTTTTCGCAACTGGTTCAGGGGGGCTGGTTTAGGTCTCCTCTACCCCCTGAACCGGTCAAACCTCCTATACACCCACTGTAGGGGCGTATTGGAGGGGTCCCGGAACAATACGTATCGGCCGATACGGGTCGATACTTTGAACCTTACATCTTATTATAAATGTAAATATGCATTGGTCTGTCATTTGTCAATGCATAAATGTAATGCTGCCAAAACATAGGCAAAAGTAAACCAGAGTGCAAATTTACCCTAAACTGGGATTTACACTCCATTTGTATCGTTCCCAAAAGCAGCCTAAAAATCTTCTTTTGAATACAATTAAGTAGAGAAACCACAGTATCTTCTTCCAACCAACTCAGTTGGTAAGGTCTCTCGTTGGTTGTTGTCAAGACTTAAAATTTGGGGTAAATTCCCACTGTTGTCATCAGTTTTACTGTTTTTTTTTTTTTTTTTTTGGTGGGGGGGGGGGGGGGGGGTATGGGTATCAGGCTAATGCTGGAAGCCCCCCAAAAAAAAGCTCGTCCAAGGGTTAAGGGGTGCAAATTGGGTACTCGATTTGAAGAATTATTCATCCTATACAAGGTTCAAAGTATCGACCGATATGTATCGTGCCGATGGCTTCCCGATATGCCCCTACAGGGGTTGTATTGGGTACTCGATTTGATGTGTTGTAGGATTTATAATCATTCCATTATATCTATATGTTTGCCAACCATGTCCCATACAAAACTTAAAATTGCCTTTAAGATACTCTTTAAATTAGTAATATTTGGAACCTAGCTATTTGTTTATCGTCCGAACATAATCGTCAGGTGGTTATCATGGTGTGCTTGCTCTCAAGATTATGGTGGGCTCAGAGAAAGAAAATGAATTTTGATAGATTCCACTTCTCGTATGGTGAAAGCCCATTAATGGATTCAATTGTGTAATGCATTGATCCTGCTTCATGATTTGTAATCATGCAATGGATGGTTACAGATGGATGAATTCCTCTCTCTCTCTGATTCATAAGAGAATTGAGAGTGTTCTCTTTATTGGACTCAGTATCTTGTTGAAGACTGTCTAGCTTCAAGTTTCATGACATTGCTAACAATTGAAGATAAAACTACATAGATTATTTTCTTCTTTTGTTTATTACATATGGATGCATCGTTCAGTTAAATAATTTCTACTCCCGATCGATTAATCAGTTGATCAGAATGCCTCTGGCAATGGCTTTCCTTTCAGAAATGAATTGAACAATACAAGTGATCTCTGTGGTTGAGAAAATGGAGCTTCATGAGAACCTCCTCTTATGGTAGCAAAAGTCAGGATATCACCATACACTTGTGTCCATCCACCAACCTGGAAAATCCATTAAAATCCTTTAATAAATGGAATGAAAAAAGAAAACCCATGTTTTCAAAATAACAACCAGGGGGAGAAGTTCATCCACCTCCTAATGGTAGTCTGGTCTGTGAAATCTAGACTATTTTTGTTGGTCGAAAATTTCGCTTCAAGATAACAACCAGGGGGAGAAGTTCAGGTTACCTTGGTCACTTTATCTTAGTGAAAACTGAAATGAATTGGCTGATTTGGAAATTTTGTACAAGAACCATTTTGTTGGCCTAGTTTTTTTGGCAAGCTTGGACCAAATTTCCTATATAAAGATGCCTTTGAATTACCTTGGTTCACTAATTGGCAACCCAACATCTTGTATGGTTCTGATAACCATGATGCCTAGCTTCTAATGTCATTATTTAAGTAATCTCTTGCAATGAATTAATTTACTCAAAGAAGCAAATCTAATGAAAGTGGAATGGAGCAGAAGACCCATAAAATACTTTAATTACAGATTCAATCTAGATGCAAACCTGTTTTCCCTCGAACCAAACTCTGTAAGGCACAGTTGTGTTCAATCCCAACTCATTTGCCAACCTGTGGACTAGTGTCCGAGTCCCAGTCAGTGGGATGATAGAATCTTGGTCTCCACTGCAATAGCCAATCCAGACATGGTTATATGCAAACAAGAATCAATGGTCTCATAATGAAATCAATTCATGCTTGTCCAGAATTTCCTTACTAAGTTGTCTTTTTTCAGCTACTATAATGTTCTGTTTTTCTTTCTCAGTGTTCCCAGAATATATCTATTAATTAATTTTCTTTTCAAAATTTTATTGCATCCAAAAATTTGGTTATGCATCACCATGGTGCAAAAGAAAAAGATGGTGATCAGTATAACTCAATGGAAACAAAAAAGCTTCTGCAACAATGCTTAAAAGAATCCATCATTTCCTGGTTTGTCAATTTACCTGTAAACCAAGATCTTAATGCCAGACCTGCTAAGTGAGCTCAAGACAGGAATTGTTGACACCTCTAAATTAAGCATATCATATTTGATGACTCTAAGAACAACAAAATAGAAGACTCAGAATGAGCTGCAATAATAAAGAAGTTAAGGCCAATTAAATCCAAACTCTGACAGAAAAATAGGACACCTATCATATTGAAGAGATACCTATAGTTAGTGCAAGCAATCCAGCCGCTGACTCCTACAAGATGGGCATGGAGAGACTTCTGTACATCATCCCGGTTCAAATAATTATATGTTTCATCTTCAACACAGACGTCTGTACTTTCTACAACTTTCTGCTGATTCAAACCCATCAAACCACCAAGTTCAAACTCAATTCTGCAACAGAAGCAGTGGAAAAAGAACAAATGATCAGGTGTAAAACATACCTGGGGAGTCAGAGCCTTGGATTGTGAAAGAATGGACGATACACAGACGCTGAGTGTGACATCGTATTCATCTATGAATCTACTAATTTCTCTGTTGACCAGGCTTACAACTCTTAAACAAACAGAAGAGACAGAGCCTCTATAATACTTACTTAAGAACCGAGAGTAGTTGCAATCAGAAGTGAAGAAACCATAGGTTGAATCTGATATCAGTCCATGTGACCACAAAAATTCAGCTCTTGAATTGAAGTCGGTGGTGAATTCTAAAAGAGGGTTCCCCAGCTGAAATAGAAAAAACTCTCCACTTTCAGATCAAGCGGGTAAACTACAGAAAACTTAAGTAATTTTTATCATGATAGGGAAACAATAATAGAGACCAGTCCATTTTGATAGATATGCCAAGGCCCAGGTGTTATATTGAGGCTAAGATAAAATATATAAAACTTACAGCTATTCCCTTTAGATTGAACAATTTCTGGTCGTTGAACTGAATCATGAGCTGTGCAAGTTGTGGAACATAATGACCTGGTAATGAAAAGGGAAAATTTCAGAATACTCTCTCTCTCTCCCTCCCTGTAGTAGGTAGTAGTTTAGTTACATACCAGCATAGCTTTCTCCTGTGATGAAAAGATCTTTGTTCTTGTGCTCTGGGAATTTGTCAAGCCATCGCTGCATGAAGACGAGATTATCTCTAGCTTAAAAGAAGAAAATGAACAATATTTTAGAACAAAAGAACAATTTGATTCGAATCATAGAGAGGGCATAGTTCCACAGTTCTCAAAATGGGAAGTATAAAGGAAGGCATATTGCTATATAGACACTTTACAGAAGAGGTTCTTAGAAACCATGATGTGTAACTATAACTCTTCTGTGCTTCAATGCTATAATTCTTCCCAGGACCTGAGCATAATTGGAAATTATTGCCATTTAGTTCTTCCAAAATCCCACATTTGATCAGATTTGCCTGGCTAATTGCTCAGGGTAAACCAGGGTTGAATTTCATTAATACAAATTTAGGACTTGAGTTATGGAACATACCAGTCATCTCGTCATTCACACCATAATAGTAGGAGGTATTGGTGGAATAAGAGAACCCAACACCTGCTGGAGTCTCCAAGTATAGCATGTTGGCCTCTGTAAATCAATTCAACAAGATAATATTTAAACTGTTTGGTTGATCCTTTTAATGACTGCTACCTGCAAACCACAATTGAATTACCTTTATTCCAGCTATACTCATTTCTGACCAGATTTTTTCCACTTGGTCTAAAAGGCCCATGCTCAGAGAATGCTCCTGTTCCAATGGAGGAACAACCGGGACCTGCAAAGGAAAATCAAGTGAAACAGGATAGTACATCATAAACTCAAAATTCAAACCCCATAAAAGAAACAAATCTTGATAGCCTTTATCAATAGCTTCTTTGGAGTTAACTACCTGTACTTGATTAAATAAGGTGAAAATTTTTTAACTGTACCTCCATTTACCCAGAGAACAAGAGGTTTTGAAGCTGGATTTGTTTCTGCTTCAACAAAGTAGTAGAAAAGAGCTCTTTGTTGCTCTTCATCCACAGTTATGTATCCACTATACTGCTGGAAATTGACCTCTGGTTGTCCAGGCAACTTGATGATTCTGTCAGCCTCCTGGGTTGCTGTATTTGTTATCTTTACTGATGAGCATAGTTGAAGGAAGGTTGTAGCAAGTGCTGCAACAGTAATCCAGGATAGAGAATTCATGGCTTCAGAAGGAAGAGGTAGGATGGAGTTCAGTGATAAACTACTGGAACAGAGAAAGAGAGTAAAATGCTTGTTCTGTAAATTTCCTTCCCTGGATAAACCTCTTCTCATGTGTCATATCTGATCCAATATTCCTTGTCACCTGTGAAAATGTTTATTATAATTGCTCTATGTCTATAGAAGACCAACCACTGAATTAGGTGGGAGGAAGATCAGCATAGAACAAGATTGGAGGTTAATTGTGTTTTTCTTATTTTTGGTTTAGGTATATTCCAAAGTGGGACCCACCGAATAATGGGTCCTGATCCTCTGAAAATGCAGTCATGAGACCTGGATCAAATCACTGTTAGTGATCTGGTAGCCCTAGATACAACCAAGAGAGTCCTTATTCTATATTAATGACCTTTGTTCTGGCGTTCAAGCATTTCAATTCAGGTTGATTTGCTCATCACTTCTAAAGTTATAATGTTCAATCCATTTGGCCTTTCCGGGGTAAATCAAAACGTAGCAGTTAATACCTTCTCTGATTGACTGTTTCTAGATGTGTTTGGATAGAAAAGTATTTCTGGGGCAGAGTTGATTATGACCAAACAGGTTTTGGGCCCTGTGTTTACAAACAGCCAAACTGCACTCACATGTTCTTGTCTCTTCTTTCCACAGGAAAATTTAAAATTAGTCCTAAACTCCTAATAGCTCGGCTAGTGGCAATTGACAAACATAGAGTTTGACAGCCTCAACTCAACATCTATTTGGAAATTCAAGACAAGCATGCAAAAATGAAATGGGCACTATATCCGGTACATGGGTTAAGTTTGTTATATCAGCTGTAGTAAGTTGTAAGTACGTTGAATGAGCATTTGAAATTTTTTTGACACCTGTTCCTTAAAATGCCCTCACCCCACCTTTGAAAAAATTAATACTTACTTTTGACAGTTGTCAAAATACTTATTAAATTCTCATTTAACATGCTTACTTTGTTGTGCCTACTAAATCGGATCGCTATCCCGCTGTTACATGATAGAAGGTGCCGTATAGCTCAGTGGGTAAGGTCTCTGGTTGATTGTAAATTGTAATGGAGACTTGAGATCGAATTCCTCCTTCACCAGGATTGGGGGTGTTATGGTTTTGGGCCTTTGGGGGATGGGCTACCCCTGTGGGCCACACAAGAAGCATGCCCATGAGGTACAGGGAAACTTCAGGCTTTGGAAAGGAAATAAAGCCCATGGGTCAGATTCGGATGATCTTGATCTTGATTCTTCTTTTGTTTGGGCGATTTCTATGGTGCCGAAAAGTATGGTACCTGAAAATTTTAATTCTGTCACATGGGGTTTACGCATACTAAAATCTCGGGCTGTCAAGCGGAGCTGTGCAAAAGATGCCAATGGTTAAGATCGTACTGAGCACACTTGACGCAAAGACCCCAAATAGCTGGGAGCCTGGGATCAATATTGCGTAATGACATTTGTTTTTCTTTTTATATTAAATTTGTTTTCGAACTTCTACATCTCAAATTCATAGATAACGAAATCTCATATTAGAAAAGGTAGCAAGAATCAGCCATGTGGCATAAGGATCAAAATTTCGCGATCTATCAGTCTGTATCAGATGATTAAGGCCTCGCTCGCTTTTTGGTAAATTATTTATTCGGGTAAGTACATTTACCTATGTTCTTTTATTTTCCATGCAAACAAGACAATAACTATTTTAGTCATAAAAATTCATTATTACAATGGGCATTTTTGTCCCATTCAAGTGTTGGTAACTTTCCCCCAAGGTGGGAAAGTTATTTACCCACCTAGGAGATGGGTATCACTTACTTAGGAAAATAAACTTTCTTTGGTCTCCACATAAATCTGAAAAAAGAACATGAGATTCTTGGTCAATGGGAATCAAAGTCCCATTAACCAACTTTCCCCCTCTCAAAATCCAGAAAAAGAATGCCCCCTAAGAGCAACCCCCTACCCAGACTAATTTTTGAAAAAAAAAACTTAAAAAAATAAACACACATGTGGTCAAAGCATGATACACATCGTCTGGCATATTAGGATGTATCGATATTTTGAACCTTGGCACATGCATACGTAGAGATAGAAGAATAGGGGTGGCAATTTATTGGGCCGGACCGGACTAAGGCTGCATTTGACATTTCTTATTTTAAGGATTTATCTCCTTTTTAAAATTAAAATGCTTCTATGAACATTGAGTTTTTAACAATAAAAACAAGATAAATCCTTAAAATAAGGAATGCCAAATGCAACCTAAATCCAGGATAAACATATCATAATAGGAGTCTTGACAAACCCATGCAAGGTGGGACTTGTTTTCTGGTTCTCGATGCAAATACAAGACCGAACTAGTGGGGAACTTCCCTAAACAAGCCCATCTATTTCTGCCAGGTTGAGGGATCATAAGGCTGATCTAAACCATCCATGAGATTGGAGAACCACTGGATTGGTTTCCATGTTCAGGGGTCCATTTCAGCCATATGTCCTATCATGTAGGGGTGGTTTTCACAACTTGCCTGTGGAACTGCAAACGAGAGGAATGACTTTACCATTTTTTTTTTATTCCTTTATGCAATCTCACATTTTGGTTAGGGTTGAAATCCAAAAATGGAGCCCAATTTCCTGCAAGCAAAAACTCTGCTCATATAGCATCTCGCCACACATTGTGAATATTTTATGTACATGTATGTTAAATTCATGGAAGATGTTTCCTATGTGCGACTGGATTCCCATACTTTCAAGTTTGTGTAGAGTTTTCTCTTGGAGAGAATCTTCACCCAAACCTGGAATCTAGTAAAAAACCATTGAAAAAGTCAACAAAATGTTGACCCGGGTGGTTGAACCGTTGAATTGTCGACCCGTTCGATGGTTTTTGACCGTTTTTTTTATTTTTTATTTTTTTAAATTCTCGTCAGAACGAGCCGTCCATTCGAATCGAACGGTCAGACCGTTGACCTGGAAACCGACGACCAAAACAGTTCTGTTTCTGGGTCATTTTTTAAAACATTACATTGAATTGAACTGGTCCAAAATGGTCCATAGTATTCGTCATATTGGATTGGACCTGGTCCATCTATAATGGACTTGTATTGGACTGGATCAGATTGGACCAAATTCGGTCCAACTAACCATATATGTTATATAGGCTCAATTTGGAAAGAGTACAAATACAAATATGTACAATATAAATAGATACAAAATTATATAAAGGGAAAATTCCCGATTAGTACCTTGCACTTTGGGTTTAGTGTCACTTTGGTCCTTGAACTTTAAAATGCGATAATTCAGTACCCAAACTTTTAAAACGTGACAATCCAGTACCTACCGTTAACTAGCTATTAACCAGTCATTAAATGGCATTTGAAAAAGACACAAATGCCCTTAAATTGTTATTTAATTTTCTTTATCAACCATCTAAATGTTGACAAAAAAATAACAGTCCCAAATCCTTGACTTTTCCATTCAAGAAAGTTAGGGTCACGTTTGTGTGGGTATTCTGGTGACCCCAACTTTCTTGAATAAAAGAGGCAAGGATCTGAAACTGTTAATTTTTTGTCAATATTTGGATGGTTGATAAAGAAAATTAGATGACAGTCAAAGGGCATTTGTATCTTTTTCAAATGACACTTAACAACTAGTTAACAGTAGGTATTAGATTGTCATGTTTTGAAAACTTAGATTTTAAATTGTCACATTTTAAAGTTCGGGGACCAAAGTGACACTAGGCCCAAAGTACAGAGTACTAATCGGGAATTTTCCCTTATACTAAATACAAGATTTTGCACTCTACGATCTACATATTTGTGCTCCTTTCAAATTGAACTATAGTATTTGAATTTAACTTTTATGACATGCACGTACCGAGACCAAGACATGCATTTGCTTTATATAGTATAGATACATACATACATAAGGTATATGCTTATACATTTCATGTATGTATCTATTGTGCATGAATGTAAATAACGTTATTTATAAATCTAAATTAGGTGATGACTTCTTAAGGATAAAGTCCAAACACCCCCAGTTTGGGGAGTCTGTCACTTTACTCTAATTCTTTTTTGAGAGATTCCCTCTCCCAAACTTTCACAGAAAGATCACATAAACCAATCTGTCACCATTAGAAAAAAGAAAAGAAAAGAACATGCCTACATCCCTTGTCAGATATTTCTAAAGCTCTAATAATCACATCACTCTATCACCATTTTGTTAGAACAAACGAGTGGAATGTGCCTATATTTCATTCAGATATCTCTAAAGCCCTAAAATGCCGTTTTCTTGATTTATAAATGTTTCAACGAATCCAGACCACGGGAGTGGAATGGCTGATGAAGCCAAAGATATGACCCACCAATGTGGTGTGGTGTCCTAATGCCGTTAGTCAAATGATTTTGTCCTTCAAAGTGTTGTACCAGATCAAGGTCATGTAATTGATATTCCAAATTGAACCCAAAGATCTTGGGCATCAAGTGGTTGCTTAACATCTGTGGATTAATCTCAAGCATCCAAGTGATGCACCAAGATCTTAATTGATCTGGGCCATCTAAATAATACAATAAATCAACCCAAGAATCTATGCTATCAAAGGGGTCTCTTTGAAAGTGATGAATTAACCATGGCCATCTGAACATGTATCGATATTTCGATTGATGTCAGGCTGAGTATTCAATTCATCATCATCAACTATCTTAATCTTAATCCTGTTTTGCCATTCCTTTCTAATTAAATCCAGGCTACGTAAACGGAGTCTAGATTTGCTACCAACAGAGATTCCAACGGGATTTATAACCACACATATCAAACATGTTTTGAATTCATTGATGGAGTCATACTTTTGAGAAAGGATTAAAATATCAATATGGTACATCTAGATATCCGTATTGGGGCATACCTATAATGGGGTATATCCATATCAGTGCACCCAAATATGCATGGATACACCTATAGGCCTTTCATAAGATCTGATTTTATAGAGATGTGTGCTCCAACCTTCTAAATTTATAAAATAAAAAATATCAATACACACCAACATCCAGTTTTGGGTATCATGCATAGATATTTTGATACTTGCTTTTGAGACAACAATCATGTCTGAGATGTGAGGATATAGATTATGTGATAGAAGATCCAGACTCGTGTGAATGACTATATAGAAAAACATAGTCACACAGTGGATGAATAAGATTCTGTTTCTTTTCTTATGCTCATTATTTGCATTTAAATTTCTTAATGTTTTTTTTTTTTTTTTTATTTTGATCATCAAATTTATATCTTAGAAAACTGATATAGGCTATTCAAGTATAATATTTTCTATTATCATCTAGTTTTTAGTTTCATGATGATGAATTTCACAGCATACAAAAGTAATACCGGTTTCTGCTCTGTTTATCAAATTAGGGTAAAATATTTTATTCAGTCAATTTCTTCTTATGCTTGTTTAATCAAATTATCAGAATGCTTCTGGTAGTGGCTTGTCTTCTAGAAATGCCTTGAACAACAGGAGTGACCTCTCTGGCTGTGAGAAAGGAGCTTCATGTGAAGCTCCTCTGATGGTAGCAAAGGAGAGGATATCACTGTACACTTGTGTCCATCCCCCTACCTGGAAAAAACACCCATCATAATTTTTTAACCAATGGAACAAAATCAAAGACTTAAATCAGAACTTCATTCAAAACCACATCCCCCACAAATCTACAATGGCACCTACCTCCAAAGCATTTCTGATGCTAAGTTACTGAACAATCCTCAAGAGAATAAATCATAAGACAACCCAAGTATACAAATGATAAGACCCATGGAATTTATTACAAATTTCACCAAGTGACTAACCTGTTTATCCTGAAACCAAACTCTGTAGGCAATAGTTGTGTTCAACCCCAACTCATTTGCCAATCTATGGACCAGCATCCGTGACCCAGTTAATGGAATAACAGAATCTTGATCTCCACTTCAGTAGACAATATATGAATAATTAGCTAGAAGTGGGCGTTTGAATTACTTTTCCAAATGAAATCATGATAGAAATCAAGAAACAACATCTATTTCATTATTTCTCTCAAGTGAGCACAGAAAATGACAATCTATGTCTCTTGAAAGAAGGTAAGTAGATTGAATTCTGAAACCAAACACCACCCAAATCGTAAAATAGAAGTAAGGGTTTAGCTTAATGATTTACCTGTAAACTAAGACTCTAACACCAGACCTGATGACTGAACCTACTACATGAATTGTAGGCACCTCCAAGTTAAGCATGTCATAGTTAAGGACTCTGATCACCAATGTAGAATGTTTTAAATGTATAAAATGAAAGATCCACACTGAAGAAAGCACTAAACTCCAGAAATCCGAAAGCAATAAAGAAAACTCGGAAAAGGGATAGACACATTGGACTTCACTGAAGATGTTTTCTGCTAAATAAAGGATAAGTTAAAAGCTTGATAAGTTTCCATAAGAGTGTCATTAGATACTTACTCACTGCAAACTTCCCAACCCTTGACACCCAGAAGACGGGCATGTAAAGCCTTCTGTACATCAGCCCGGTTTAAATAGGCAAATGTTTCATCACCCACACATACATCTATGTTCTCTACAATTTGCTGTGGGTTCAACAAAATAATAAAAGAAAAAGAGTTAAAAGAAAAGACAGGGATGAATCAAGGATATGATGGCAAAAGAAAACGATTGTAAAACCTACTGGTCGAGTGAGAGACTTCGTCTGTTGAACAATGGATGATAAACATATATCGAGTGTTACATCATATTGATCAACATATTTACTAATTTCTTTTTCAACCTGGCTGATCACTCCCAAACAGATAGGAGAAACAGAACCTCTATAGGATTCACTCTTGTACTGAGAATAGTTACAAGATGAAGTGAAGATTCCATATGTTGGATCAGATATCAACCCATGTGACCACATAAACTCTGCCCTTGCATTGAAGTCAGTTGCGAACTCTAGAAGAGGATTTCCAAGCTGTAGTGACAAAGAGAAGTTTTACACAGATCAATGGTAATTGGAATTATGGAGTCCCAAGGAACCATTCAACATAAAAGCTTAAGCTGTTAGGTGAAGTCCCTGAATAGTTTTTTATTCTCTAACAGGCCTCTCACGCGAAAGCCAATTGGGCTTGAAGCATGGACAGGCACAGGCCCACCCATATCTCGTGCTGAAATTTAATTATGATGGGGTGATGAGGAACAAATGCCAAACCATTTGGTCAAACAGGCTCCAATACCATTTCCAGGAACTAATCAACCTAAAAGCTTAAGCTGTGAGATGAGGTCTCTAAATAGGTTTTTATTCTCTAACACAGGAAAATAAAAAAGTGAACAACACCATTTTGATGGGATGACCAAGTTATCATAAAATTTCGATTAGTTGATTATTTCATTACCGCAGTTAAACTGGGTTTGAACAAATTCACCTCTGGAAAATCATTTGATAACTGTGAAAGTATTCATTTTGTACTCACAGCTATTCCTTTGAGATTGAACAGTTTCTCTTTTTCGTTGAACTGAATCATGAGTAGTGCCAGCTGTGGAACATAATGACCTGGAAATTAAAACAACTTTCATCATGCTTTCTCTCTCTCTCTCTCCTCCCTTTCTTTCTCTACCTATGATGAGATATCAAGAATTCTAGTTGTTTAACAATACCTGCATAGCTTTCACCTGTGATGAACAGATCCCTATCCCTGTACTGCGGGAACTTAATGAACCACCGCTGAAGGAATATGAGATTGTCCATGGCTTAAGAAAACAAAGACAAACAAGGATTTAAAACTAAAAGAAATTTATAGAGACACCATGACCCTGGATACTACCTGAAGAAAATAAAAAAAGGAACCCACTGATCTGTGCTATAAAATTCAGTGAGTAGATGAATCATTCTTTTAAAAATCTCAACATAGTGATGATATTTTACATTTAGTCTGGAAAAATTATATTTATTTTCTCAATCAATTCTTGATCAGTACAATTGTTTGGAATATTGAAAACCATAGAGTCACAATCTATAAATTCTGAAGCTACATCTATCATCAAGGAAGAAAATACAGAGAACCCAAGTTGAATTGAGAGAAAAATGAATACTAATGCTTACCAGTCATTTCATCATTAACGTTTGAATAGTAGGAGGAATTAGTGGAATAAGAGAACCCAACTCCTGCTGGTGTCTCTAAGTATAACATGTTTGCTTCTGCAAATTAGAGAGTGAGATTTGTCTGATGCTTAGGCAACAGGGTCTGAAAAAAACTCTACTCCAAACAGCTGATTTCGGTACCTCTGTTCCAGCTATAATCATTTCTGACCAAAATGTCTCCGCTTGGTTTGAAAGGCCCATGCTCAGAAAAGGCTCCAACTCCAACGGAAGAACAACCAGGCCCTATGAAAGAATATCAAACCCAAAATCAGTAGATAATTTCTTTTTTCTTCTCATATTTTAATTTCAATTCACCCATGAATTTTCAGTTCTATTTAGACGATTAAATCAAGAACCGAATTTCAGAATACCTCCATTTAACCAGAGAACAAGAGGCTTTGAAGCTGGGTCTGTCTCTGCTTCAACAAAGTAGTAGAAAAGAGCTCTCTGTTGGCTTTCATCGACTGTGATGTATCCAGAGAACTGCTGAAAATTAACATCTGGTTGACCAGGCAACTTGTTGATTCTATCAGCCTCCGAAGAGGTATTCTGTGCCATTACCACTAATAAGCATAGTTGAAGGAAGGTAGCAGCAATTGCTGCCATATTCATCCATGACACAGAATGCATATTTTCAGGAGAGAGAGAGAGAGAGAGAGAGAAAGAGTCTCAATGGTGGTTGTGTTGAACTGAGCGTAGACTTCAAAGGTGGGGTTGTTGGCTTGCTTGTAAACCTTGTAGTAGTATAGTGTGGTGTACTTCTAACTCTATATTCTTCATTTTTAAATCAGGGAGCGCCGGAGCGGCTCTCCACCCACCTCTCCTTTCTTTGATCACATGATTCATCCATGGTCTGGCCCCATATCTCACCACGGATGGCATAATCAAGGATCATAATGTACCCAACCATATAGACTGGTCCCACATCGAGATTGTTTATATTCAGAATAAGCATGATCAGATCAGAAATGAGACTTCTAGCTAATCATCTTATCTATGCGTCCCGGTCCCGCGAAGGCCTGAAAATGAGTGGACCATGCTTTCTATAAAAAAAGGGAAAATTCCAGATTAGTGGATCTATTGTTACTTTGGTTTTCCAACTTTAAAAGGTGACAATTCAGTATCTGAACTTTTAAAATATGTCAATCTAGTACTTATCATTAATCAGCCTGTTAATTAGTCATTAAGAATCATTTGAAAAGATGCAAATAACCTTTTAGTGTCATCTAATTCTCTTTATCAACCATCTAAACATTGATAAAACAAAATAGTCCTAAATTCTTAATTCTTTTCAAGAAAGTTGGGATCACCAAAATGCCCATTTAGATGTAACCCCAACTTTTTTGAATAGAAGAAACAAGGATTTAAGATCATTCATTTTTATCAACATGTGGATGGTTGATAAAGAAAATTAGATAACACTCAAAGGGCATATGTATCTTTTCAAATGTCACTTAACTGTTGGTTAACGGATTAGTTAACGACAGGTACTGAATTGTCACGTTTTAAGTTTGAGGACCAAAGTGGCACTAGGCCCAAAGTACATGGTACTGATCGGGAATTTCCCCCAAAACAAAGTGGATCATGCTAAAAAAGTGAAAATGACCCTCCTATCGAAAGACCATTCAATGGTGGGTCCAGCCCCCTTGTCTAACCATGCAGTTATTCAAACATATGCTCGATTTATTTTGAGTCCGAACCAACACCCCATTCACCAACTTTTCCCCCTCTCAAAATCCAAAAAATGAATGCCCCCTGAATTAAAAATAAAAACTGTGACTATTGAAACTCACCCACAAGCAACTCGGTTTCTTTTTTATTAGGAAAGCTGAATGTATCACTCCTTGTTTTAGTAGATAGGCAGATAGAGCCTCCACTTCAGTCAAATATTCTTTATAGAACAATAATCTGAATAAATCCTTATCTTAAATACTATCTTCTCATCAAGGAAGGGATTAGGAAGTAATTGCTATTAGACCTCCTTTGAAACAGTGCTAACTAGGTTTCTTTTCTTATAGAGATCAATGCTTGTATACAAAAGGGTTGGAGTCCTTCAAGACAGTTCAAGCAACAAAAGATTCGACTTTATTTTGGAATTCAGATATTGATTATTGATAAAAATATTATTCACACTAAAATCTATGGTGACAAGGGGCTGGTTTGGTGATGTTCGTTTATTTATGGAGAGCCAAAATTTGCAAATTAAGATTTTATGCAAAAATAAAAAAATAAAAATAGTTAGATTAGGATTTTAATATGATTTTCCATTTTGATGAAATCCCTCTTGGTGGAGCTATATTAGGAGGAACCGAATATACCTGGTCAAATAACATAAATGGGAATGATAATGTTAGAGTTAAACAGGACAAGGGTTTAAGCAGCATAGATTGGCAGGAGGCTTTTCCAAATGCCAAAGTGTTTTTCTTGTCCACATCTTGCCATTTGCTTTAACCTATTCCCCATTAGTAATAAAAAGAAAAAAAACCCTTTCAATTTGAGGAAATGTGGATGATCCACAAAAGGTGTGAAGAAGTTATTAAAAGGTCATGGGGAAATGTCCCAAGTAATGGCTCTAGAAGGGATATTAGTGCCAAATGTGGAAATATGAAACAAGCCCTATTAAAACGGAATAAGGAAGAATTTGGCAAAGTTCAATATTATATTAAAAAAGTCAAGGCTGAGCTAGTGGAGGAAAAAAAGCAAAAAAGGGCTTTGACTTCGATGCTATTAAAGTTAAAAATCTTGAAGAGGAGTTGGATGTTTATTTGAAAATTGAAGAAATTTTGTGGACTCAAAAATCTAGAATTAACTAGCTAAGATTAGGAGATAGAAATATAAGATTCTTCCACAATGTAACTATCAGAAGTAAAACAAAAAAGTAGTATTTTCAAAATTAAGAAAGAATTTGAAGAATGGGTTAAAGGACAGGAGCATTTAAAAAAAAAAAGTCTTTACTAATCATTTTGAGAATATTTATTCCTCCTCTTGCCCAACCTATATACACACACTACCTTGGGTAATGTTAAAAAAAATATTGGTGAAGAAGATTGAAGAAATTGAAGCCGCTTTCTTCCAAATGGCCCCAAAAAAGCCCCGACTTCGAATAGCTACCTAATTCTTAACCGAATAATAGAGGAGGATGTGATAGCTTTGTTTTCTAAAGGTATCCTGAACTGAATTGGAGATTAAATCAAACCCTTAATTTCCAAAGTTGAGCACTCGGAATCTCCTTCTCAATCTCGGTCCATTAGTCTTAATTTGTAACTCTGTCTATAAAATCATTGGAAAAATTTGAACTAATAGGCTGAAGCTAATGATGAAAAAAGTCATTTCCCGATATCAAAGTGCCTTCCTCTCTAGGAGAGCCTACAATTTAGCTTTCAAGGCCTTCTAAAGGAGGCTTGAAACCTGATCTGGAGGATCCCCATTAATGGTTTGCCTGTGAGAGAAAACTTAGCAAAAAAGGAAAGTTATCCAATCAACTGAGTGCCTAAGATGTGGAGTTGATCCCATCAGGAATCCTCCCTCCATTTTCTTGTTCATTGCATCAAGCCTAGATCCATTTGGTTTGGATTTGGGCTAAGGTTGAAGGCTCATATGGCGAGTTTGTGTAATGATTTTGGTAGATGGTTCTTGGATTCCATCTCTTTAAATGGAAAGCTTGATCCTGATATTGCATCTAGGATGGCTATTTGTTTATGGTTGATATAGAAAGACACTTTTTTATTTTGAGAGCATTGACTCTAATCCCTTTGTGATTGATTATTAATGATTTCAACAAGTTGATAGTGGAGACATTCTAGACATTGCCTTAGGGATGGGGAAATTATTCTAGATCAGATGTTATAAAAGTTGGTAATCAAGGATATTCTAAAGCCTTGTGAAGAAGGTCGTTCGGTGAGGTTCTCCTGTGTTCCTCGTGATGTTAACCTAGTAGCACTTTTGATTTTGGATTGCCTCCCATATGGTTTTAGGTCTTTTCTGTAGTCGTTCTCTTCTGCATGTTTTTCTTATGTTTTGCTTTTCTCTGTCTCTTTGATTTGTCTATTGTTTTTCTGCCTGTGTTTGATCAATCAATATTTCTTTACCAAAAAAAAGCTTGTATACAAATTTGTCTTCTTGTACTACACATTCGATCGTTGTGCCATTTCGAGTGACTCTCTAACCGTTAATGAAGGTGGGTCCCACACAATATTCCACATATGTGGGGAAAGAGTGATTAGCTTACTAGTACTCACTGGCTTAGGGGATATTTGGCATCGATGCCAATTTCCCAATAATCACTACCATGTCGAAGCCACATCAGCATTAGAGGAATCAATACTGAAGTTTCTATTTGGTTGGCTGATTTTGGTGATTTTCGGGAAATTGACAAAAAATCAACACTTTTTCAGGATTATCATTTTCGATGATTTCTTAATTTCTAATTGATTATAATTTTTTAAGGATGACATGGCATTAAGTAATAACTCTAATACAAAAAATAATCGGTCCTCGAGAATCAATACCAAATAGACTTAAAGTTGATTTCTCAAAAATCGGCTTATATAGCAAAAATGATACCAAATAACAAAATTTACCGATTTTTCAAAAATCGGTAAGATTGATGCCAAACATCACCTTAACTAGAAATAAATAATAAATAATTGTTGTGCTTGTTGATTTACTTCAATTTATGCAACTTTCCGTCTAGGCTTAGGCAATTCAATTAAAATTTCCTTTTTTCTAAGTTCTTCATTTGATCTCACAAATGAAATCAAGTACATCCATTTCTAACCTTCATTCATTATTATAATTAATTAATTTGAGAAACCAAGATTCTATTAGTGAACAATTTATTAAATAAAAATTGGCAGTGTTGGTTTGGTTTATTTGGAAGAATAGAAATGACAAGTACTTTAACAATAAATCTTCTCATCCCCAAATTATTGTAGAAAGAGAATTTGCTTATTGTGGAAATATCAAATCTTGTTTTTCTTCTAGTCACAATGGGATTTTTAAAGAATGGAATTTTATAAGATGGTACAATCCCAATCCTAGAACTATCAAAGTTAACTTTGATGCATCTTGCAAGTCGGATAGTTGGTGCTCCATAGAATGCATTGCTGGGAACTATATGGGTTTTATTTTGAACCTCAAAGCCTATTGTATTGGGGTCTCTTCAATTAATCAAGCTGAGGCTTGGGTTGCTTGGGAGGCCATCAACATTGCTTTGAATTTTAAGGATTCCCCTATCATTATTGAAGGAGAGTTGAAGCTCATGGTTGACTGCCTCAAGGATAGAGTAAAGCCCCCATGGAGATTGGAAAGCATCATCAATGAGTGTCTCTTCCTTAAGTCTGAGTTTAGTTCAAGCATTTCCTTCCAACATTCATATCGCGAAGCAAACTAGGCGGTTGATTGGCTAGCGCACAATGCCCCTTCCTATCGTCCAGCTAGTTTAGGTTCAGTCCCAAATGATCTCAGTCAGATTTTTTTTTTTATTCCTGGTGTGGGTGAGGTGGTGGCTAGGGAGGTTTTCTCTTTGAAGGACAGAGGAAGCTCGGAAATTGGGAATTAACCAGGAGGCTAGGGAAAGAGAGAGTGATGAGATGGCTTTTAGCTGGAAGATCAATGATAAGGGTAATCAAGGATTGAGTGAATGAATTTCATTATGAGAAGGATATATATTTATGGGGGAGATCCCAAGATCCTAAAAGGAAGGAGTTAGAGGTGT